AAAAAAAAAAAAAAAAGGAGGAGGGGGAAGTGGGGAGGCCAGCATTTGAACCCTGGCAGGCAGGTGCTGCCGCTGTGGAGGGAGGCAGCAAGAGAAGCCTGAGGGCCTAGTTCAAACTCTTGCCTGCCATTTATTTGCTGAGTGACCTGGGGCAAGTCTCCTCACCTCTTAGATCAGAAGTGAGGATTCAGGGAGCCCCCACTGGGGCCTGACATTTGTAGCCTTGAACCCAGGAGCCAAGAAGTGCCTGTGACTGCTCCTGGTCCTCAGCACCCATGTTGCCTCTTCCTCAGGACCTGTCTCTCCGCGTGACGGTGGCTGAGAGCAGCAGCGACGGCCGTGGGGACAACGTGGGCCATGTCATCATTGGGCCGTCAGCCAGTGGCATGGGAACCACACATTGGAACCAGATGTTGACCACGCTGCGCAGGCCTGTGTCCATGTGGCACGCTGTCCGGCGAAACTAGCAACCAGGGCGGGCCAGGTGGGCAATGGAGCTGCTGGAGCCTGGTACCCACTCGGCTCTGTCTGATGCCCTCTCCATAGCCCAGCTGGAGCCGTGAACACTGGGGTCCCCTGGCAGAGTCCTCATGAGCCATCCTGGTCTCTCTGTCCAGATTGCAGCAGAGGAGTGGGCGTGGCTTTGTGTCCAGGGCCCCAGGGTCTTCTCCTGCTGAGGACCAGCTGTGGCTGGGCCAGGACAGAGGGAGGGTGCTGGGCACTGGACAGCTGTGCTCCATCTCAAGCTCCCTTAACCCTGCTCCTCCGGGGAGGCCAGCTGCCAAGCCGGGCTATGTTCTGGAACCCAGCAAATCTTGGGGGCCAGGCACTGTGCTAGGCACCAGCAGGAGTAACACGAACAAACCTGGCCCTTAGGACATCAGGAAGACAAGCTCCCCTGCCCCTGAGGATCTGCTCAGTGCTGATGGCAGCCCAGCTGTGTGGACTCAGGGGCTCTGAGGGCTGGGGAAACAGGAAGTATCTCTTTGACAAGGTAGGAGCTGCACTTGGAGGGGCAGGGAAAGAACTGAGCATGTTGCAGGCAGCGGGCCCAGCCTGAGCTATGGCAGGATGTGAACTTCCCATCACAAATGCAGCCCTCAGCCCACTGCAGTGGATACAAGGAAGGGCCTCTCTCAGGGCCAGAGAAGAGACCAAGAGACCAAGAGACCGAAAGACCAGGCCCAGGCGGAAGACTGCTGGCCACGTGGAACACTGGCTCCAGAGTTATTCTCTGTGAAATCTACTCCCCGGACCTCAAACATGGCAAGAACCAGAGGTCCAAAGAGGCCCAGACACAGGTTGTTGTGCTCAGTCCTGCGCAAACCAGGCCCGGGCTCTGCAAGCATTTGATGCCCTTCCAGGCCCACTGGGAGAAAGACGCCTCAGGCAGGTCTCAGCCTGGGAGGTGGCAGGGGTGGGGCAGAGAGAATACTGGCTGCAGAGGTCTTGGTGGGCTGCAGGTGCCTGGGAAGATGTGGTGGACAAGGAGGCTCTCGGGCTGGACCTTGGAGGGGTGGCAGCGGAAGGACAGCCCAGGTGGCTGAGGCCTGATGGGAAGCCAGGAGAGGCCAGGGTGGAAGGGCAGTTTGAGGGACGCCAGGATAAGACTGAATGCCAGGCTAGGAAGGAGATGGCTCTCAATCACAGGGCGGGGGGTGCCCCCGACACTGGGTCTCCTAGCTTCTAGTTCCCTAGAAGCGAAATCTTAGAGGGGGATTCTTGGACAAGTAGCTTCTTGCGGGTGAGTGCTCCAAGAGAAACTTACCAGAGCCAGAAAGGGAGCTGAGGCTGGAGGGAGGAAGACAAGCAAGTGTGGCTTCAAGATCATCGCCTTGGCCTGACTGCTTTGGGGGCAGGGGCCTGGGCTGTGAGAGGCACCCTGGGGCTCCCACCCAGAAGCAGAGGGGCTGGGCTGTTGCACCTCTACTGGCATCAGTCTTTGGTTACCCCCCAGCTCCAGTGGGAGGAGAGCAGGCAGAGCTTATCGTCCCCAGCCTGGCGTCCCACAGTCCCAGGAAGCCGCTTCTTGCCTTCATGGCTGAGTGCTGGGAAGGTCTGAGCTCACCCAGGCCAGCAGGTGGGGTATCATCTGCTCGGTGGGGCCACCCACAGGTGACAGCATGGATCCTCAGGCTGGCTGCCCCTGTTGCTTGGTCCATAACTGGTGAGCTATGGCGACCCAGGCCAACCAGTTATCCCCAGTGATATGGGGGGAGGAGGGGCTGGAACAGGGGCCCAGGGGACTGGAGGCAGGATGGTGGCTCTCCCCACTTGACACAGCCATGGCCCAGGCCCAAGGCCAGGCTGTCTACCCTGTGGCCACAGCAGGAGGTCAGCCCAGGGCCAGGAAACACAAGGCTGGATAAGGCTTTGTAGCCTGGGAGACCCTAACTCTCTCTGACTCAGTGGCTGTGCAGTGCAGGCCACTGACCCCCCTGCCCTCTCCCTACTCTCCCTCCCCCTGACTGCATGACATGTTAAATGTGTGCCCAGGATGGCCGTGGTGGGGACGGGGTATGCCGACTGGAATGATTCTAGAACCAAAATAAAGCTGGGGCGGGAAGAGGGGGCTTCCAGGGAGCCCTGCTCGGCCCTGAATCACCTTCGTCTCTTCTCTAGGAATCAGGGACTCAGGCCTCCTGTGGGTTACTGTGCACCCTCCTTCCTGCTACCGGGTGCCCAGAGGGGAGTGAGGCCCGTGTCTGCTGAGGAGACCATTACAGGGACCAATGCAGGCTGGGCATGGTGGCTCACACCTGTAATTCCAGCACTTTAGGAGGCTAAGGTGGGTGGATCACTTGAGGTCAGGAGTTCGAGACCAGCCTGGCCAACATGGCGAAACCCCATCTCTACTAAAAATATAAAAATTAGCCAGATGTGGTGGTGTGTGCCTGTAATCTCAGCTACTCGGGAGGCTGAGGCAGAAGAATCGCTTGAACCTGGGAGGCAGGGGCGGCAGTGAGCTGAAATCGCGCCACTGCACTCCAGCCTGGGCAACAGAGCAAGACTCAAAAAAAAAAAAGATCTTAAAAAAAAAAAGTTTCAAGTTTGGAGTGAGGACTGTTTCAGGCTGCATGCAGAGGCTCTTTGGGATTCCGGGTATGTTCACGATGCAAAGAAAGTGGGGCCCAAGGCCTGGGGCCAACAGTAAAAGAAAAAAAAAAAAAAAAAAACTGGCTCAACACCTATAATCCACGCACTTGGGGAGGGCCAAGTCGCGGGGCCCGATCACCTGAGTCAGGAGTT